GGACAAAACCACATGATTATCTCAATAGACACAGAAAAAGAACTAAACAAAACCCAACACCCTTTCATAAGAAAATTAATAAAAAAAAACTAGAAACAGAAGAACTTCCTCAACCTGATAAAGGGCATCTACCAAAAAAAAAAAAAAAAAAAAAGAAGGAAAGAAAAAACTAAAATAATCATCACATTTAATAGTGAAAGACTGAAAGCTATCCTATTCAACATAGTACTACAGATTGTAGCTAAGGCAATCAGATTTTAAAAAAGAAATAAAAGGCATCCAGATTGAGAGAAAGATGTAAATCAATCTATATTCTAAAGTGGCATAATCTTATATATAGGAAATTCTAAAAAAATTCATGAAAACACTATTAAAACTAATAAATGAGTAATAAATGAGTTCAGCAACCTTGCAGGATACAAGGTATAGGCAAAATTAATAGCATTTCTATACACTAGCAATGAATAATTAAAAATGAAATTAGGTTGAAAATGTAAGTTGACGCAGCCACTATGAAAAACAGTATGGCGGTTCCTCAAAAAATTAAAAATAGAACAGTCATATGATCCAGCTATTCCACTTCTGGGTAATTACTCAAAGAAAACAAAAACACAACTCAAAAGATAATCTGCACCATGTTCATTTAGCATTATTTACAATAGCCAAGATAGGGAAACAACCTAATTGCCAATCAATGGTTGAATGGATAAAGGAAATGTGAGATTTTATACACACACACACACGCACGCGCGCGCGCGCACGCAAAGGAATATTATTCAGCCATTTAAAAAGATCCTGCCATTTGTGACAATATGAATGGAACTTGAAGATTTTAGGCTAAGAGAAATAAGTCAAACAGAGAAAGACAAATACCCTATGATTGCCCTTAATGTGGAATCTAAAAAACAAAAACAAAATAAAACAAAAACACCTAAACTCATAGATACAGAGAACAGATTGGTGGCTGCTAGAGGTGACGGGTGAGGGGTGGAAAAAATGAGTAAAGGTGGTCAAAAGGTACAAATTTCCAGATACAAGATAATTCCTAGGGATGTAATATACAGTATGGTGATTATAGCTGATACTATATTATATATTTGAAAGTGGCTAAGAGAGTAAATCTTTAAAGTGCTCATCACAAGAAAAAAATTTGTAATTATGTAGTGATGGATGTTAACTGGACTTACTGTGGTGATCATTTTGCAAAATATAAATATATTAAATCATTATGTTGTACACCTGAAACTAATATAATATAATATTATATGTCTTTTATATCTCAGTTCAAAGAAAAAAGAAAGGAAAAGAAAGAAAGGAAGAAAAGAAAGAAAGAAAGAAAGAAAGAAAGAAAGAAAGAAAGAAAGAAAGAAAGAAAGAGAAAAAGATCCTGATGCCCAGGACACCACCCTTAGGTTCTGTTTCAATTGGTCTGGGATGCCTTCACATTACCACCAAAACAGCTTAAAAAAAGAACCCGGGTGATTCTCACATGTAGCCAGAGCTAAAAGCCACTGGTGTCAGAACCATTTTCTGTATTTATAGGTGAAATAAAATTCTAAAAGTTCATAAAATTAACACACTTTTAAGTAATTATTTTTCAAACATTTCAGGATTCCAGGCATATAGAATGCTCATTTAGAATAATAGAATGAAAATTTAAAGAAAAAAATAAAATTAAGAAAACAATTCCACTTATAATAGCATCAAAAAGAATGAAATACTTAGGAATAAATTTAACAAAAGAAACACAAAACATACTATGCAAACCATAAACCATTGTTGAGAGAAATTAAAGATCTAAATAAATGGAAAAGATATGTGTTCATGGCTTGGAAGGTTATATACCATTTGACATGACAATATTCCACACACTGCTCTACAGGTCCAACATAACCCCTATCAAAATCCCAGCTGGCTATTTTGGAGAAATTGACAAATTGATCGTAAAATTTATATAGAAATGTAAGGGACTCAGAATAGTCAAAATGATCTTAAAAAAGACAAAGTTGTAAAACTCAAATTTCTGTTTAAAAGTTACTACAAAACTACAGTAATGAAAACAGTGTGATTTTTGCATTAAGGATAGATATATACACCCATGGAATAGAATTGAAGAGTTCAGAAATAAACCCTTACATATTGGTCAATTGATTTTTGACAAGGTGAAAAACAATTATATGGGGAAAGAATAGGCTTTTCAACAAATGGTGCTGGGATAACTGGATATCCATATGCAAAGAAATGAATTTGGACCACTTATATTACACACAAAAATTAACTCAATACGGATCATAGACCTAAATATAAGAGTTTAAACTATAAAAGTCTTAGAAGAAAAATCATTATAAATCTTCATGACCTTCAGTTAGGCAATGCCTTTTTAGACACACACCGAAAGCATAAGCAACAACAAAATAGATACATCTGACTTCATCAAAATTAAAAACTTTTGTGCTGCAAACAATACCACCAAGAAAATGGAAAAACAATGCACAGAATAGAAAACATTTACTATCATCTAATAAGGGACTTGTTTCCAGAATATATAGAGAACTTTTACAACTCAATAAAAAGAGACAGGCCACCCAACTTAAAAATGGCCAAAGGATTTAAACAGATATTTATCCAAAGGAAATGTACAAATGGACAATAAAAAATGAAAAGATGCTCAACATCATTAATCACAGGGAAATGCAAATCAAAACCACAATGAGATACACTTTCACAACCACTAGGATGATTATAACGAAGAAGACAGTCCATAACAAGTGTTGATGAGGATTTAAAGAAATTGAAACCCTCATACAGGGCTAGTACAAATATAAAATGGTGCAGCCACTTTGGAAAACAGTTTGGCATTCACTTAAGATGTTAAACATAGAGTCACTGTATGACTCAGCAATTCTACTCTTACGTATATGCCGAAGGGAATTAAAAACATATTTCACACAACAACTTATACATGAACGCTCATAGCATCATTAATGTGGAATATTTAAACAATGAAATATTATTTAGCTACATTTTGGAATGCAGAACTGATATGTGATACAACATGGATGAATCTCGAAAACATTAAGCTAAGCTAAAAAAGCCAGACACAAAAGTCCACACATTGTATGATTCCATTTATATGAAATGGCCAGAATAGAAAAGTCCATAGAGTGGTTATCAGAGGCTAAGGAGAATGGGGAGTTACTGCTAATGCATGTATAATTTCCTTTTGGGGGGATGAAAATGTTCTAATATATGATAGTGGAGATGATTGCATAACTTTGTGAATACACTAAAAACTATTGAATTATACACTTTAAATGAATTAGTTATATGGTATATAAATTATATCTCAATAATGCTGTTAAAAAATTATGGTCATGCTTTGCCTGATAATCACAACTAAAAGCTTTCATCATTCAGAAAAAGAAAACTTATTTATATGGTGCGATTGAAGCAAACTATCAATATTTATAGATTCTTGTTGATGACAGTAAACAATAAGCCTTTTCTAAGAAAATGGTTACCTTCAAAGGATGCTATGAGGCCAATGATAAAGGATTTTTCAAACTGCTAAGGAATAAGGATACAAAATAAAAAGGTTTCATGACTTACCTTTCTAAAGTCTCACTTCCCCTATAGCATACGTTTCCTTTTCAGGAGCATAGAATGTTTCAAATTTGTGACAATCATACTAACTTTTCCATTAATCCAATTAAAATTTCACAATCTCACTTTAGAAATAATTTATATTCCATAGCTAACTGATTCATATTTAACATGCTGATGAAGGTCCCCAATTGCCAAAAACCCTTATACCAAGGGAGAATTTCAATGGGATTATTATTAAGAGCATATAATCCAAGTTTGTAGCAGTTGAAGAACATCATACCAGGTTAAGTGTCACAAATAATTCTGATGAGTCAGTCCAATAAACCTATTTTATCATAGTAAACAAAGTTATTTCTTTGATTGTTCCAACCCTTTTAGCATGGGTTGGTACTAGGATTGATACAGGGGCTGGATTCATGCTACCTCTAATTGCAGTATGTGACAGAGCCAAGAGCAGTGGAACGTCAGGGACTATGCTACAAGGATAGGTTCTTCACAATCCTTGGTTAGCGGGTGTTAACAGAAAAAATGCGGATGGCTGGCTGGCTGGCTGGCTGGCTGGCTGGCTGGCTGGCTGGCTGGCTGGCTGGCTGGCTGGCAGGCATAAATATTCATTGTGCACTTGTTTCATGCAATGTCAACATACAATGGAGTAGATATGGGGGCCACGAAGGAAGAAAAGTCAGTCTTCCATCGCATCTTCTAGTTGAGTTTCCACCTTTATTACATTCATTATTGTATTTGTTACATTATTTTAATGGTTTCCATAAAAGAGGCTATGCTAAGCAGGTAACCACATTTTTATTCCCCAAAAAGTCACTGTATGTTTGAGGTGATTTATGCAACTGGAAGGGAGAATTCATCAGAGAACAAGGTCTAGATCGTGAAGAAGCCCAGTCATGTCCAGTGACCTCAGATGCCCAAGCTGGACTCAGGATTTCCACGCCAACAGTTCCCGGGGCTCAAGCTGGAGACAGACGGTCAGCGAGAAGGCGGGGCGCTCTACACGTAAGGAACCTCAAGTCCCAGAATCCCCCCGGGACTCCAAATCCCAGAAACCCGCACAGCAAATCTACTCGAATCCCAAGTCGGCTGACCGCGGACGCGACCAAGTTAGGAAACTGGGGTGAGATGCCGCAGCACTTGTCCCCCTACCACTTTCCCTATAGGGAGGGGACTTTTAACAGAGCTATAGTTACCCGAACCGTCGCACTGTCTCAGTAACAGCTTCCACGAAAGCCTCCCTCCCGGCGTATTTGATGTGGTCATCAGCATCTCCCATTCTCTCTCCCCCTTTTTCCTTGCCCTCCGTAAGAATGGTTCAGCCGGGCATCGAGGCTCCTTGAGCTGGATAGGTGGTTGTGCCCGCCCGCCCCCGGAATGTGGGCCTTTGGAGCGAGCGAGGTGGGAGGGACGGAGGCAGGGAGGCGTGCTGGGCCCGGGCGGCTGTAGAGGCGGTGGCGGCTGCGGGCAGTGGGAGGAGCCGCGCGGTTCCGGCTGCCCGGGCGAGGCGACCCTTGGGTCCGCGCCGCGGGCGAGGAGAACAGGTAGGGAAGCGGGCTGCCGCGGCTCTGGGAGAGGCTCAAGCAGCGGAGCCCCCCGGCGTGCCCCAGGCACCCTCGGCCTCTGGCGTTGAGGCGGGGGAGTAAGGAGATGCCGACCCAGAGGGACAGCACTACCATGTCTCACCCGATCGCAGGCGGAGGCAGCGGGGACCATTCTCACCAGGTCCGAGTGAAAGCCTACTATCGCGGGTGAGTGTCCGGAGGAAGAGGTAGGAGGGGAGGGGGAAGGCCAGCTGGACTTGGCCTGGAGGAGGGGTGGGTGAGGGACTGGAGATGTTGTGGCGGGTTGGTCCGGGAGGGCGACTCTGAGGACCTGGGATGGGTGACCGAGTGGTTTGGGGAGGAGCGTGGGGCGCTGGATTGGGACACCCCCAAGGTGTGGTGCGGGGCGCCCGGGAATCGCTTGGCTGAGGGTCCGGAGTAGAGTCCGAGGGAGGAGCCTTTGCATAGAGTAGGTCCACCTGGTGGGTTCGAGAGACACGCCGACTAAGAACTTTACAAGGGTTTACGTCATTGGGTCTGGATGTATTTGCGGTTGTGAGAGTTGATTCCGAGTGATGCCTCAGTTAACTAAGTTTGCTATGGGCTTAAACGACAGGACTGCTTCAGTTTGTTGGCCCTTTTGATTTCCAGCAGGCCTATAAAGCCTCGGGTTTCCAAGTCAGGTTTATCTTCATCACCTATAAGAGTTCACGAAGTGTATCTGGACTGTGGTCAGGCTGCCATTAAATTAGACATAGGGGTTATTATTTAAGAGTGAAGTTGATTTGTTTTCAGGGATGTGCATTATGTACTTACGTTTCTCCAAGATTAGGTGTGTATGTGTAAATTAAAATTTCGTGAACGCTTCTTTGTCATTGTTGCTTCCCATAAGGTGATCATCCCATAGGGTGAGATATTGCATGGTGAGAAGAGGATGAACCTAGGCCAAGCTTGAAAATCTGTGATCTTTACTCATATCATTTATTACCTAAGTTATAACTCTTGTGGTTACTAGAAGTAATCCAGTCCTGAGAGCTTGTGTTAAATCGTATTCCATAATCAGTGACCTGAATGCTTCCCTTCCCTTGAATTCAGTTGTGGTTTGAAATTTCTTTGAGACAATTATATTTAGGAGCATTAGAAAGGTGAAGTGCTATTGAGAGCAAAAAGGTTTGAAACTAAGGGTTAACAGAAAACCCAACAGTTTTGGCCTGTCTTACTGCTTGTCCAAGCAGAAGTAAATTGCTTTAAAAAATTCAAGCGCTAAGAGGTTGAAACTGCAATGCATACTTTTACATTCCTGAGAGTATCACTGAAGATAGCAAACTTTCAAAATGCCTGTCGTTTTTATTTCAAAGAAAATATAAGCCCCTAAATGTCTTATTGATTTGATGGAAGAACATACTGGTTTGTTTGCTACCATGAAGCCTCTGACCTCTGTATTAGCTTGACTGCATTCAGGAGTAGTTTACAGGAGTTATTTTGGACAGTGTCAGTGTTTTTGCTTAAATTGATCAAGGAGGACTTGATTTTAAAACAATACCCAGAAGTGTGTGTAGGTTTTTTTTTAAAGTTTGTAGTTGTCACAGAGCTCTTTTGACTTAAGGGTGTAAGCTTTGAACTTTGCACTGTAAGAAAAAAGCTTTGCTCCCTTTACCTTACCTTTAATTTGAGAGATGAGCTATTTCACTTTAGAATATGTTCCATTTTATAAAGTTGACAGTCCATGAGTTGTTAGGTATGGAGAATGAAATACAGTACATATTCTTTTTTTTTTTTAAGGTGCCTGATTATTGACAGTTTAAAAACTAGATTTAAAATGAATATACACACATGGCAGGAATGTGCAAATTGTAGAGAGGTATAAAATAAAAAGTGTTCCCTATCCTATCCTCCCAAACTCCAGAGGTAACTACTGTTGACAGTTTATTTCTGGTTCTCTTGGAGGTTGACTTTATGACTTTAAAAGTTATACTTCTGTTTAGTGATATATCGACTTTAGATAGTATCAATTGATACTCTGAAAGATGAGAAATTGGGTGCTGACAACCTTTTGCTTTTTCTCCTCCTGGTGCTTCTCAATTTTTGATTAACTGTTAAACTATTATTTTTAGTTCTCCAGTTTACCTTTATGACTTTAATACAAATTCTTGACTTATTAAATTTAGATAGTTTCCAATGATTCCAACCATGAAAGACGAAGAAACTAGTGCCTCTTCCTTTCCCCCCCATTTTTATTAGTTTGACAAATGTAAATAGGCCTAATTAGTAAATTAAAATCATTGTAAGCTTCTCCTTTGGAAAGAAATCAAAGTCTGCTATATTTCAGGAACTGTATTATCATATTTTCTTGGCTTATTACTCCCAATTATTTAAAAAAAGAATAAGGAGCTAATAACCCTTTTAGTGCTTGAATAAAATTTCTCCAAGACATTAAAGTTAACATTTTCTTTGTTTTTTTAAAACCTATGAATTTTTGCTAAGGAATGAAAGAACCCCTTGCTCTTTAGTGCTTTTAATTCAATGAAAGCTTTTTAATAGTGCGTTCATTTCTCATTTAAAGACAACATCAGCACTCTAAATTGTACCAATTTCTGCCCTCTGAAATTAGATCTGTTAAGATTATATGTTTATTAACAATAGTCTAAACTGATGGTTATGATATTACACAGTCAGCTGCTCATTACTACAGATGAAACTAAAATGAGTCACCAGTGAGGACAGGTAATAAACAGGTTGGCTAACTGGAACACCTACCTGATTTTAAAATAGAAAATCCTTCCTTTATATCAAGTAATGTAAGCACAATCTGCATTGGAAAAAGTTTCTTTTCCTTAGCTCTTCTGAATGGCCATTATCAGAGAGCTTTCTCCTTATACGCTTCTAACAGTATTTCTTTCCAGTGAATGTTGAACCTCGGAATAGCAGCATTTTTTAGTGAATAAATTGCCCTCTCCTTTCAAAGATGTGTATTTGAATGTGTAACATTCAAAGATGTGTAACAAAGATATTTCTGTTAAATTTGTTTTTATTGCAAATGTGATGTCTCTCTAGATATAGCAGACATTTAATTGGATTTTTTTTCGAGTTGTTTAGTAGGAGGTTAATAGCACTGAGGACCTGATTTTATTGATGACTGTCTAAGAATGCTTGTGTCACAGCCTGCACCCCTTTCCTCGCCACGGTAGCTTGTCAGTGAGAGGCCTTCCTTCTTCAATCATTACCTAGTGGTGTTAGCGTTGAGGAAGAGAAACAGGTTTTGTTGGTTAGTGATAGATTGCCATTTGTATGTGATTATCCTTATATAAAGTTGCTTGATATTATGGGATAGAATTTAACAGGGAAATGTCTCAGCCACTCATTTCTTTACATGATAAGTATGGGAAATTTTGCAAAACACTTGTAAAAAATGCTCTTTAAACCACTGCTGTTGAGAAATTACAACAATCCAGAGGATTCTTTGCACACATACAAATAAAAACATTGTTAACTCCTGCACATTTGGAATGTATAGCAGGTTCGGTGAAGAAATAGGCAGGGTTTTTTTTTTTTTCCCACTGTTAACAAGTCTTGGCAAGACTTGTTTCTAAGAGCATTGCAAAATAATTTTAGCGATATACTCTAGTAATGGATCTAAGGAAATAAAAATAGCATATTGAGTTGAGGACTGGGGGGGAATGTTAGTTATTGGTCCTGCCTCTGGCATAGCACCTAACCATAGCTTTAGTGGAGAGAAAGGCCTTCGTGTCCGGGTGCTCAAAATCAAAACCAAAACAGCGTTCTCAGAAATTTGAATTAGATAACAGCGCTCTCAGAAATTTGAATTAGATAATATGGAGATAAATTGCTTCCTAACCGTGAGGACTGAGGCTGAGGAGTTGAGGGAGAGGCTGGTGAGGCCAGTGGACAAATAGAAGGTCTGAGGAAGCAGGGGAGAAAGAAGTAGCTCTGCAGAAAGATTCCCCCTGGAGGTCCATGATGGCTTTCTAATACAACTCCCAGCTCGCTTTTTAAGATAACTTGAGTGTCTCTTTTTTTATGATTGAAATGAGCCTAATTAAAACATGAATTTTCAAAATTCAGTCTTGCCTAGGGTTTCACATATTACTTAAGTGTGTTTAAACTCAGTTTGATAAACATTGTTGAACATCTACTACAAGCCAGGCACCTGGTGCTGGGGTGGGTACAGAGGGTGTGGAGGTGGATTAATACAAGGCTCTGCCCTTGAGGAATTAAGAGACCTGTAGGAGGAAAGACATGGAAGAGTTAATAAAGGTAGGGGTATGTGTGGAGGTGTCACTACAGGGGTGGATACTGGGGAGCAGTCTGGGGGAGGGAAGCCTTCCTAGTGGATGAAATGTTTGAGGCTTTTAAAGGATAAGTAGGTTTGCTGATGGGGGTGATGTTGGGTGGGGCATAATTCCAGGCATTGCCCAACTGCATGTTCTGTTTGGGGAATTAAAATCAGTTTAGTTGTTTAGACCCATATGCATTCCTTATTAGGACACAAAGTATGAATTGGGCACTAAGGAGAAGTGAAGCAATAAGAAGGCTCACAGGCGCTAGTTCGTGAAGACCTTGCTTCAGACTTTTTCTTTGGTGAAGGTTTTAAGAGAGAGAGAGACAGGTTTTCATTTCAGAAAGATCGCTTTTGGAACCAGTGTAGGAGTTGAACTGGTGATGGATGTGACCAATTCGGAGGCTTTGGAAGTAGTCCAGGTGAGAGATTATGGGGCGGAGAGAAGAGAGGCTATGGCTTCAGTGGCGATGAATTATAGACTGATTGCCTATGGGGAAGGGGGGTGGTGTCTGACAACTCATAGGTTTCTTATTTGAAAGAGACTAGGGGATATATAATAGAAGGAAGACGTGTGGGAGAAGGTAATTGATTACCTGGAACAAATAACTGAATTTTGAGCTCAAGGTGTTTTGGGGGCATCCAGGTGGAAGTGTCCAGAATTAACTAACAGTCATTGTGTGCTGGCTCTATGTCCCAAGCACTATACATGACAGCAAACCTATGTAGGAACGTGGGTGAGAAGGATGATAGAAACGAAAATGCCACCAGTGGACTAATACAGATCACAGGGCAAGGCACTAACGCTAAAAATTTTAAATATAGACATACATAAAGCAGAAAGTTCTCCCTCCCTATAGCCTCTCACCCACACCTCTTAGAGGTAGCCACTTTTAATAGTTTGGGATAT